GCAGTCAAGCACCCAGCCCAGAGGACTCCTCCCTCCCTCCTGCGGCAGCAGCTGAAGCAATCAGTAGCTGGGAAGAGGGAGGGGAGGAATCACCCTCAGCTGCCCAGGGCTGCCTGGGCTGGGGAACCCAGGCTGGGAGAAACCCCCTGAAGGGGAGGTTCCCCTAAAGGTGGGGCAGGCTGGGCTAGCAATGCCCAACAGGCTGGGAGACATGCTCTAGCATGCTCCAGTCATATCCTTGGTCATATCCTTCCCTGATGCTCACCTTTGCGGTGTATTTAAGACAACCAATATGATCATCCCAATCCCTCCTTTTTTTAGGCTTAATAAATCTCTTCCCAAAAAATCAGTCCTTCAATTCCTGAAACCATCGTAGTACACCTTCTCTGTACCTGCCCCCAGTTTAAATTAATTTTTTGAACATAGCTGACCATAACGCTACAAAATATTCTAAATGGTGGCTTTACCATACCTTGAACAATGGTACCAATGCTTTCCTGTTTTTACAAAAGAAACTTGTTCGGTAAATCCTAGAATTAAGTAAATCTTTTTCATAGCTGCTTCACATTGGCAGCTCACTGTTAACCTTTGATCAACCAATACATGCAGGTCTTTCTCTTAGGCCTTATACCAGGGGTGGGCAAAATGCAGCCCGTGGGCCAGATACAGCCCGCCAGGTCATTCTATCTGGCCTGCAGGGCCCCTAAAAAATTTAGAAAATTAATATTTGGCTACCCCTGGCTGCCTGTCATGAGGCCCTCAATGACTTGCCAAAACTCAGTAAGCGGCCCTCCGCCCGAAATAATTGCCCACCCATGCCTTATACAGATATTCAGTTTCTCCTGGGAGAATCACTACCCTGCCAGGCAAAACCACGAGTGTACAGATATTCCAGCTTCCCCACCCCCCCAAGGAAAAATCATCGCTCCAGGAGAAAAATAACCTGGACGCAACCAGAGTTAAATCACTGCCAGGAAAGCTTCTCCAGGAAGAGCATCTGTACATGCTGACAACACAGGCAGACCACAGGCCATCTGAGTTAGCCAATCAGGTTTGCCCCATGCACTGCAGTCATTTGTTGCCAGACAGCTTTAGGGATTCTACAAAGTATATTAACATGTGTGCACAGGGCTAACCACCCCCTCTGCACAGGATCAGCACTGTAAGCCCTTCACTCTTCAAGGTCTCAGTATTCAAATGTCTTTAGACATGGCTCTGGGTAAGTTTCTCTGCCACAAGAACAAAACCGGAACAATTCTCCCAAATTATCTGAATGCATGTATACAGCCTTAGTTGCCTCCAGTTTAAAAAATAACATCTTGGTATCAGTCCTTAAGTGCATGGCATTGTACTTATTATTAAATTGCTCTGCTCAGACTATTTAATGTTTCCTGTATAATAATCCAATTAGATCATACAGGAAGAATAGTCCCCATTGGAAATATGTCCCAGTTGTGCCATCTACAAACTTTGTAAATCTACTTAATTCCTGCACTAAAATTGCTAATGAAAAAACTAAAACAGTATACAGATCTCAAGATTAATCCATGAACATACCATTAGTAACCTCTCTCCAATACCATCATCCTTTTGCAGCATAATTCACTGCAATCTCCTTTCAGCCAACTCTATCCATTTTGTGATTGTAATACGAATCCTCCATCAGTACAGCTAATTTCCAGTGAGGCAGTATGAAATGCTTTGTTTAAATCTAGATTAGGTCCCCTGCAATATGTTTATTTATTCTAAAAGTCAGGGATAGATTCTTAAGGATTCTATGCTAGGGCAAAAAAAGCTTTCAAATTCAGGCTTTTGATAATTAAAACAAGTAATTAGTAAAGTATCTTTCAACAGTGTTTCCTCACAGCCTGTTTTCTTGAATTAGCACTGAAGTAAGACGACAAAGTTCCATATCTGTCTGTCAAAGTCACTGCAGATCAGCTGGTAAGGCAAGGGCTTGAATAAAAAAGCTCTTAACTAAATGATACAGGAGAGCTGGTTTTAGTTAGACTCCTTTCCTAAATGCCATTCAAATAGTATGCACATCTAAAAAAAAAGTTATTAAAAGAACTGGATAACACACCTAGTTAACAATGAAGCCTGCACAGAAGGCCTTTTAACAAAAAATGTTTACACAATAAAGATTACGGAGAAGAAAGAGGAAGAAAGCATTGTAAAGTAACAAATTTTTTTCAGAGTGAACTGTTTATAAACCAAAAATAAGGAGTGAATGACAACTAACATCATCTTCCACTATTCTGCCTCCCAGCAGCAATCTGTATGCATGGTGGCAGCAGTAGCAGCATGATAAAGTTCTTAAAAGAAATAATAAAAAAATAACCTCTTGAACTGGCAGTCTCATTACCATAGTGCATAAAAGCTCACTGAACAAATTCGCCTATGTTACTACTACCAATAATGCTTGCCCAGGAAAAGCCTACCACTTGGTTTGCTCTAAAAGACATTCTCCATTGTACAGACTTCTGTTTTACTTTGCCTGGTAACTAATCACACGCTGCTTTTGATTTAACATTCACATCCTTCCTTCAATGTACTACTTCAACCCAAATCATGATTATGGAAACACCTGTTTAAATAAATTCAGCTAGTTAACCTGGTCTCAACAAGTCTAGATCAGAACTTTTCAGTTTACACACATTGCTGTTTTGTAGATCAGGTAAGGTGAAATACTACATAATTATTTTTCAAAAGACCAACTATTCAAAATAATAACAAACAGTGGCAAAATAATTAAAAGCTGCTTCAAGTTGTACAGAATTATAGCCATAATTTGCCTTTCTGCATGAGCTAACACATCATCTATTTAGAACAGCAGCTGGTCTCAGCATGTGAAAGAATATTTCACCTGTACAGAGATAAAACAGCAAGGTCTTCATTAAATTTCATTCTATTTATTCAAGCCCAAAATTGCAGGTCCTGAAAGTATTTAGACGTCAGAACTTGGACAAACTTGTGGATACTACTCCACTCTTGTTGGATGTTATGACTGAAATATCTGTATACAACTTGAAAATTTCAGTTTACCAAAACGTACTTTATAAGTCTAATACAATGGTAAAAGCAATTCAGAGTTACATAAAGGGGAAAAACAGGCATAAACAGAATTTGAAAAACCACTCATCCATGGCAACTTTTCCCTGACAAATGTATGAACCTAACAATGCCTGAACAGTTAACGTAATGCTGGTTTTAGCTCTTATAATTAAACATAGTTCCATATGCAGGCATGTAAATTAGTGATTTCTTCCAAGTTTTCTGGATGCTTCAGTGTGGGTACAGCTGCAGGAATGACAGAGTAAAATTAACACACACTGCTTTCATAGATTGAGAACTTCATGCATCAAGAACTATTAAGAGTGAAAAGAATCAATTCTATACTTTCCATCAGTGCTGCATTGTCTGGCCACAGACAGTGAATTATTGTGAAGGATAGAACAGGTCCACTCCCCACTTCCATTTAAGAAACATCTATAGCAGGTGTCAAATTTACCTGGTGCCCTGAAACACAGCAGCAGCTTCAGCCTGGGGCATGTGGCAGGGGCTAAGGGCCAGGGAGGTAGGGCTGGGGCAGTGGTGATGGGCAAAGTGGCTGGAGGGTGACTCAAGCTGTATTAGACCTCACTTAGCTTTCTGCATTGAGTGCCATGTCCACCTGAACTCAAGGGCCCTGGATTCTGCAGCAGCACCCCCCCTCCCCCCCTGGCAGGGCCCCCCCTTCCCATGGTCTGCAGGTAGCCTGGTATGCCAGACAGTAACTCTGCAGGCCATTTTTGACACTCTTTAGATAAAGTATCAGATCCCCTTTTTGCTGCTCTTCACAATAGGTTCTAGAGCAACTTTCTTTCATTTGCAGACTCCTAAAAAAAAAAATGAATTGAAGTGTGAACCCCTTTGGAAATTTTGAATGGAAGTGCCAACCCCTTTGAATTGTAAGTGTGGATATTCACATACTTTTGATGACCATAATCATAATCTTTTGTGGACCCCTTAGACAGTCTGTGGATCCTGACCACAAGTTGAAAACCAGTGCTCTAGGGGACACTAACAATTCAGTCAGCTAAGAATGGAATTAAATTTTAGCTCCTTATTAGGCAGAAGCTTCCTGAGAAGATGGTGCCCCCCAAAACAAGATCCAAGAACACCATGCAATAAGTTCCAGAAGCTGAGGGCAAGACAGTTGTGCTTCTCATGAGAATACTACCTCTTGAACTTGGGAATGGACCCAGCTCCTCATCCTTTTTTTTTGTATCTATTGTGTATTTGTCATGTTTCAATCCCTACTTGTTATTTTTTTTGTATAGCTCCAAAAGAGTATTAAGTGTGTTGCATAAAGGGATGCCTGTTGCAAAATTCTTTATGCTACAGGCGATGTACAGATGAAGCATAAAATGCAACATAAAGTGACTGAATCATCTACTTAATCATATATTGCTCCTTCCTGTTGTCACCTTTGTGTGTAGCAGAGAACTAGGAGTGATAGGATTCCTAGAATACATGTACTGAGGAATGATTTGGGAAAG